CCTTACTTCCTTTACTCAGACTTGTGGTATTTGAGAGTTGATAAGAACTCCAGTTTATTCATTTCAGATATTGACTTTGTATTTCTATATATTGGATGATGAAATATTATTTTGATCTCTTTCATTTCATCAGTATCTCTTGTATTATCTTTTACTTGCTTTTGTACCTACACCTGTTGTTGACTCTACTAGAGAGATGTTAATTGTGATGGTGAAACATGTTATTGCACGGTGTGGTGCATGGCAGGTTTGACATTCTTGGTTTTACCGAGGACTGCAGCCTTGTGTGAACCCAGGGGCGTCACACGTCAGTAGCACAACACCTCAATAAACTCAACATGATCACAACCCAATTGAGTTCAGTTAAAATTGAGTTTGATGAGGAAGTTCGGACGTTGATACTTTTGTCCTCCCTACCAGAGAGTTGGAACGTTACAGTCACAGCTGTGAGTAGCTCGTCGGGAAGTAACAAGTTGAAGTTCGACGACGTTCGTGATCTGGTTCTCAGTGAGGAGATCCGACGAAGAGAGTCAGGTGAAGCTACAACCCTTTCAGTATTACATACAGAGTCAAGAGGTAGAAATTCAACCAGAGGGAACGGACGAGGCAAATCAAACTACAGAGGTAGATCAAATGACAGGAGATCCAAATCTAGGAATCCAAGCAACAGCTCGAAGGCTATTGAGTGTTGGAATTATGGAAAGACCGGGCATTACAAGAATCAGTGCAAGAGTGCATAGAAGGAGAAGGAGACGAAGGCAGAGGTGAATGTCACTTCCACCTCAGGAGGATACGATGCATTGATATGCTCTTTGGAGAGCAAGGAGGAATCTTGGGTGCACTTCTCAGAAAGAATTCTTCGAGAAGTATGTTCCTGGAAATCTTGGATACGTATACATTGGTGATGATCAATTGTGTGCTATTGTGGGCAAAGGTGTAGTAAAAAGTTAAGTTGAACGGATCAGTGTGGGAGCTGAATGATGTCAGGCATATTCCCGACCTGAGAAAAAACTTAATATCCATAGGCCAGTTGGTTGGTGAAGGATACACTACGACCTTCCATGGAGATGATTGGAAGATCTCAAAGGACGCAATGACGATTGCCCAAGGTAAGAAGACTGGTACCCTATATATGATAGCAGGTGCACATTGTTTGATCTCAGTTGTAACAGGCAATGAGATTTCAAAGTTATGGCACCAGAGACTCGGTCATATGAGTGAGAAGAGGATGAAGATCATGCACACAAAGGAAAAACTCCCAGGTCTAGAATCGATTAATTTAGACACGTGTGAAGAATGCATACTTGGAAAGCAGAAGAGAGTTAGCTTTCAGACTAATGGCAGAACCCTTAGGAAGGAGAAGCTAGAGCTCGTTCACTCAGATGTTTGGGGACCAACCACCACCGCGTCCATTGGTGGAAAACACTACATTGTGACTTTTATTGATGATCACTCTCGAAAAGTGTGGGTCTACTTTCTGAATCATAAGTCAGAAGTGTTTGAAGCTTTCAGGAGATGGAAAGCTATGGTTGAGAATGAGACTGGTCTGAAAATAAAAAAGCTTAGGACAGACAATGGAGATGAGTATGAAGACACCGGATTCAAGAAGTTCTGCTATGAGCACGGGATCAGAATGGAGAGAACCGTGTCCGGCACGCCTCAGCAAAATGGTGTAGCTGAGCGGATGAATAGAACGTTGATAGAGAGAGCCAGAAGTATTCGGATACAGTCAGGCTTACCGAAGCAGTCCTGGGCAGAAGCGGTCAACACAGCAGATTACTTGATCAACCGAGGTCCATCGGTTCTATTGGAGCACAGAATACCAGAGGAGGTATGGTACGGAAAGGAGGTAAAACTCTCACATCTCAAAGTTTTCAATTGTGTAGCTTATGTGCACATTAGTGATCAAGGCAGGAATAAGCTTGATCCCAAGTTCAAGAAATGTACATTCATCGGATATGGTGAAGATGAGTTCGGCTACCATATTTGAAACAACGAAAACAAGAACCCAATGCAGAAGACAGATGACTCAGAGATGTGATATTCAACGAGAAGGTGATGTATAAGGACATGCACAAGACAGATGACTCAGAGAGCGAGTCAACATTTGTAGATGCAGATGATGTCCCGAGTAACCTTTCGGAAGAACCCAATGCAGAAGGTCCTCAGCCAGAAGAGCCTTTTGGACAGGATGGTACGCAGGAACCCGACGCACCAGCTCAGATATTAAGAAGATCTTCACGGCCTCCTATGCCGAACAGGAGATACATGAACTATCTGTTGTTGACAGATGGAGGAGAGCCTGAAAGCTATGATGAAGCTTGTCATAGTGGAGATGCGAACAAGTGGAAGCTTGCCATGAAAGATGAGATGAAGTTGCCCACGGGTAAGAAGGCACTCCACAATAAATGGTTGTACCGGGTGAAAGAAAAGCAGGATGGCTCCAGAAGATATAAGGCTCGGCTAGTTGTCAAAGGATTTCAACAGAAGGAAGGAATTGTCTACACCGACATTTTTGCTCACATGATGAAGCTAAATACTCACATGATGAAGCTAAATACTATCAGGACAGTGATGAGTATTATAGCTATTGAAGATCTTCATCTTGAGCAGTTAGACGTGAACACGGTGTTTCTTCACGGAGATCTAGAAGAGGAGATATACATGCACCAGCCAGAAGGTTTCTTAGAAGAAAAGAAGAAGAACCTGGTATGCAGACTCAAGAAGAGCTTGTATGGCCTGAAACAAGCCCCACGATAGTGGTACAGGAAGTTTGACGGCTTTATGCATAAAGAAGGTTTCCAGAAGTGCAACGCCGACCAATATTGCTACTTCAAAAGATATCAGTCCAGTTATATCATCTTATTGCTGTATGTTGATGATATGTTGGTTGCAGGTGCAGATATGGAGAATATCAGGAGTTTAAAGCAGCAGCTGTCAAAGGAGTTTGATATGAAGGACTTGGGTCCAGCAAAGAAGATCCTTCGAATGAAAATCACGAGAGATAAGAAGAGAGGTCTCTTGCAGTCATCTCAGACGGAGTATATCAACCGTGTTTTGTAGAGATTCAATATGGGCAACGCCAAGCCAGTGAGCACACCTTTTACCAGTCATTTTCGTCTATCGAAGGATCAGTCTCCTAAGTCAGAAGAAGAGAAAGAGAGTATGGCTAAGGTCCCTTACGCCTCAGCTATCTGAAGTTTGATGTACGCAATGGTCTGTACGAGACCAGACATTGGCCATGCAATAGGAGTGGTCAGCCGGTTCATGTCGAATCCAGGAAAAGCTCATTAGGAAGCGGTCAAGTGGATTCTGAGATATCTACGAGGCACCACACATAAGTGTCTGCACTTTGGTAAGGGAGAGGTGGAAGTGCAAGGGTACGTAGATGCATACTTTGGAGGTTACGTTGATCACCGAAGAAGCACCACCGGTTACGTATTCACTGTTGGAACTATAGCTGTTAGTTGGATGTCACAGGTACAGAAGATTGTCACTCTATCCACTACAGATGCTGAGTATGTAGTAGTGACTGAAGCCAGTAAAGAGATGATATGACTTTAGGGTTTGTTAAGTGAGCTGGGATTCAAACAAGAGAGGAATGTTTTGCACAGCGATAGTCAAAATGCGATTCACTTGGCTAAAAATTCCATATTTCATTCTAAAACGAAGCATATTGGGCTTCGGTACCACTTCATCAGATCCTGCTGGAAGATGATGTGTTGAAACTGGAGAATATTTCAGGAAGTAAGAATCCAGCAGATATGTTAACAAAGGCTGTGACCATTCAGAAACTGGAGTTGTGCGCAACTTCAGTTGGCCTTCATGCATAGATGATGAGGGCGAAGCCACACAGGAGATGATGTTTGTAAAGGTAGTCTGCTAACGACGGTTTGTTCTCCAAGTAGGTGATTGTTGGATCTGGGTGTGAAGCCCAAACCTAGTGCATGCGAGGAGCTCCGGCGAGCTTGAGATCCACACAGACGACGTGGGCGTCGACTCAGGCGAGGTCGACGGCAACCTTCAGGTGAGCTCGCGCGAGCTCGACGAGCGTTAGGTGAGGTCTGGTCGATGGAGGCGAGCTCGAGTTGGCATCAGGCAAGGGCAAGCTCCTGTCGGAGAGCTCGAGCATGTGTCAGGCGAGGACCGTGTAGGCGAGCTCGTGTTCGATCCTCCAGGCGAGCTCGAGGTCCCTTTGCAGGTGAGCAAGGGCGAAAATGTTACAGGCGAAATCGAGGCTCGCCCGCAGGCGAGGTTGAGCGCGCGCTTGGCTGGCGACAGCCTGTCGCCAGCCTGTCGTTGAGTTCCCCTATAAAAGGGAACCCCAAAACCCTAGCCCATGTTGCTTTTTGCCCCTGAACTCTCTCTCTCCATCTCGGCGGCGGCTCTCTCCCTCTCTCCTCTCCCGCGATCTCTCTCTCTCTTCTCCTGTGCTCACGGGATTGAAGGGGAGGAATTTATGATAAATTGTCGCCAACCTGTTGTTGAGTTCCCCTATAAAAGGGAACTCAAAACCCTAGCCCCTGTTGCTTTTTGCCCCTGAACTCTCTCTCCATCTCGGCGGTGGCTCTCTCCCTCTCTCCTCTCTCGCGATCTCTCTCTCTCTCTTTTCTCTTGTGCTCACGGGATTGAAGGGGAGGAATTTATTGTGATAAATTAAAGAGAGAGAATTAAGAGGGGTATTAAATAAAAGAGAGAATTAAGAGGGGTATTAAATAGAAGAGAGAATTAAATAGGATATTGTTCACTGTAGCTACAGTAACAATTATTGCATTTATTAAGAAATCTCAAGTTTGAGATCTGCTCTTACATTGTAAATTCTTGTTGATTAATAAGAAATTAATTGTGTAGCTCCCGAGGACGTAGGGAGTTGTCGAACCTTGTTAAATCTTGGTGTACTTTTCTCTATACTGCGTTTCTACTATCTTAGAGGTTTCGGCGTAAATTCCCAACAGTAATTTTCCCTAAAAAATATAGACAGAGGATTATTTCAACCAGTTATGTTTGCAATAGGAACAAAGTAAAAGATTATTGTAATTTGTTACATTATCTTCATAGATCAATTTGCTAAAGTAATTTTACAAGACAGCAACTTGATCAAAGACCTATAACTCCCAATGCAAAATAATCTATTGGACTGCTGGGAAAATGCAAATATACTGTAAACAACCTTTTTCTTATATATGTTACTTAATAAAAAAAATACTTGATAACTAATTGATGACCTCCATAAACTCCACAACTAAACAAGAAGAAATCGCAGTCATCCGCTCATGAGATCAAAGATGACATGGATCAATGGACGATGTACGTGACAAGGAGTGCAATAAGCATGAGCAAGTAAGCAACCCCTTGATCAACTGCCTTACCTGCAAAATAAAGCGAAACATGATATTCAAACCAACAGTCTAAGACAAAATATATGAATGATTTGCAGATGAAATTACTATAGGGCTTAGCCATTTATTACCCCTAAACATTTATATTAGCACTTAGAACTTCACACGTCCGAAAGGAATTATCTCCATGTAATATGTAGATGTCACATAGGTATCGCACGACATCATTATGTTGAAGAGAAATCCCATGAAATTTCAGTGTGAGACGCTCTACTCTCTTGTATATGTTGAATTGCACCTCCTATAGTATACATAATAACAGAGGGATACCTCTGTTTAAATATAAGGGGTTTAAGTGCTCAAGGAAGTTTACAGGTGTAGTGCCTAACCCCTAAAAATAAAAGGGCAAACGTATCAATATATAAGATTAACAATGAGTATACAAGTAAAAACTTCGTAATTAGAAAACTGGTGGAGATAAGGCGGGATTAAAATCTGAAAACGTGGTGAAAACTACCTCAGAGATTGGCTTATAATTCCACTCTATTCTCATGCAGAGACATGACAGACAAGCCATTGATGAAAATGTGTATCAAAATGATGGTTAGAAGAATCATTTCAGATCATCCAAGCATGATTCACAAATTTATATAAGATATTTTGGAGCTTTATTAAGGAACTTATAGTATTCCAAATACCCAAACAGGTGGATGTGAAACACAAGCTCACCATCCATGGTTAAGTTCCCCCAGTCTTGGCAAAGACAAGGATGCAGCAGAACTGCAACCAAGATATAAGCAAATAGAAGGGTCTTTATCTTCGCGGAACCCATTATTTTGCTTGCAAAGAACAGAGTTACAAGAAAAGGAGACTGCTTATGAGATGTATTTCTCTTGGCCTTACGTATCCTGGGCAGAGACCTGTACGGAATTTATAAGCATTCTACCGCTATACCGAACCAATGACATAGAGACAATTCGCAGTCAAAAGTCAATCTTTGACCGGCATAAAGAAAGCAATATCCTGGACTAAATTATGATTTTTGTCCAAGGAAGACACTGACCAGGGTACCATAGTACACTTCATCACTGAATTCATCAGAAATTCGACTTGCATACTTTGTAGGATATATGTAATCTAGTTCCACAACATTTTATTACTGACAGGTTTATCAAGTAATATGATACAAACTCAGTAAATTGATGGCCTTGCATTCATGGTGAACAAAAAGCTGACCATGAGCTGCATCATCATTTGTCCAGTCAATGGTTGCAGTCAAAAACTGGGGGCAACAAGATAAATCCCAACTTATCTAATTTGGAGGACACAAAATGGAATTCATATGATTCCTTATACTTTATAGATAATCTAGCGTATCCATCGGATTAAACATTGCTCAGGCCGAAGTGTAGGTTGTCAGCGCTCAGCCTTGGGTTGAGCTCTAGGTTAGAATGGAGAATTTGGGGGCTAAAAAACCTAGAGTCCGGACCCTTCCTTGTTTGACTTCAAGCTATGAATCATAGAGAGATGTCCTTTCTAAGATTTTACACTGAACAAAATCAATAAATAAGTGGGGAGCAACTTACATCATGAGGATGGAAGAAGTGTTTATTTAGCCAAAGGAAACAATAGTAGACAGGGACAGAGTTGTCTTGCTCTGTAAGACTGTTAACCAACCACTTTTTTCCTCATTTAAAACATAATAATACTACTACTAATAATAATAATAATAATAATAATAATAATAATAAAATTCTGCTTTCAGATCTCAGGTTCTGTATATGACAACAGCCTTTGGGTTATAAGTCATAGCCCGGCGACTAATATAAGCAAAAATATATTAGGAACCGGTAAACGCTAAAAGGAAGGAAGAACAGATGAAAGGCTTGAAGACCAGCTGGTGATTAGTGAATAGTAAGCAACCAAACTCATATGGTAGCTTATAACCTCCAAGGACAGGATAAATATTATGTAAAATAAATTTACGAGTATGTAATGCAATGGAAGAAAAATGACCAGTTACAGGATGGTCAGGTGGTGCATCATCAATGGGACTCGTTCATCACGTCTAACAGAAATTTTATCTGCAGACAAGGAATAGACAAGAAGATTCATCTATATAGGTAGCTCAGCTACAATCTGTTCTTTTATATCTGCACTATGATCTGTATAGAGAAATTAACCCTCCCAGACAAAGCGGGTTAGGGGAAGTATAAAACCACGGGAACTGATCTGATATGAAGTGATAAGTATCAATACTTCTTCTGAGATAAAACATGGACTCATTGGTCGATCTTCATTCAACCAGGATATTCACAGGTATCAAATTCCGATACAAACAGAATATTTTGATGAAGCTAAATGAAACAAACTTGTAGAAGTCAAGTGCCAAACTGAGTAATAACTTTTGATTGTATACCCTGGGACCTAAAGTCAGGTCAACAGCTCGTTGCTGTTCAAACCATAATCACCTACCCAGACAAAGAGGCATTTAATTGGTATCATTATGCACAATTATCATATCTTAGTGATTATTGAGCTGTCAAAATTGTGAATGATAATTAACGTAGAAGGCCTTGTCCGCCAAATTAACACAACATTCAATGTTTCCAATACGCTGAATGGTGCATGCTAGTGCATACATGATACAAGTACAACAACCAAGCTTGATCAGAACTGGTATGTACAATCTAAATATGAGATTATTCAGAGGTGCTAAAATCGAACTCCATTACATTTTAAGGTTAACTCTGATGTTCAAGCAATGTGTAGACACAATTGATATTAAAAATCAAATAGTCTCTACTATCAAACCTCATCATGTAGATATTGATTTAAATTTTGTTTGATCAGGAATAAACAAGTCAACAAACTAAACTACGAGGCTGTTTCACTTAGAAATTTATCAGCCCTTTGTTTAGTTAAATGATCAATTGACCATGAACCATGTGCGATGCATTATTATATCATGTGACCAACCAAGATGACACTCAAATAATTTACCTAAAGGTGGGAAAATAAACAAGCAGGCCTTATTCAAGCTCAGGCCAATTATCATTTCAAGCTCAATCATTATTCAAATCAAACTTATTTCAAGATATACATCAAGCCTAACATATCTTACTTTCAAATAGCTCATTTTTTATTCCCATAGGTGTATATTTACACACTAAATGGTGGACGCCCATCGATATTATTGGCTGCTTCCCCTCATTCGTTATCATGCCATTAGCATCCATTTAAAACATAATGCAAAAGGGATAAAACAAAACAGTACATACCTGGAAACAAGACAAGTCTCCAGTCCATATCTCTAATTCCTGATTAATTATGTTCCCTTTACTTAAAGACTCATTGCAAGTCCCAGTAATTAGACACCTCGCGCAATGTCTTAACTGTTGGACCTAAACTCTTATAGTTGAACACAGCTCTATTGGACCATTCCTTACTTTCATTACGATCCAAACAAGAGTTCAATTGTGTGAGTCTCAATATCTCAGTTTTTGGAAATAACCATACAAGGCCCAATTGTTTGAATGTTGGTGATAAGTTGTTTATAGGTCATGTAACCAAACTGCTTATATTTATTCTTCATGTAAAGTCAACAAACAAAGTGTGATAATATCATAGGCAAAATCATTTGTAATGTGAACTACCAAAAAAACTTGTTGATTTTCAGGCATAATTGACGCATCTTACAAAAATGACAACATCGTAGATAAAATAATACACATATTTTTTGCAAATTATATAAATATAATCACTTGTAAAAAAAATTAGCAAGGTTTAAATCTGACTACTGTTACAGATTAGTTTCAAAACATGAAAGTAGATTGGTATAAGAATTTCCCCAAACTACTGAAAATATTTTCATCAGAAACATCAACTAGCATGTTGATAGATAGGTAATCTTGAAGTAGCAGAAAAGTACAACGAAAGTTTTTAATATTACCATTCTGCCTAATGTGTGTTTAGCAACTAAATTTATATTGACAATACGCCTTAATGAACTGCTGTAGAATGTGCTCTATGAAATAGAAAATACTCCTAATCTTATATTTTCCAGAATGTTATTCAACCCTACAAAAGTACAAAATAGTGATAACAATTATAAAATATCATTTTATGAGTTCAGTAGTACCTTATTATATGCTCTAAAATATGGAGAAGTTCTGAAATGAGTCTAAACTGCTCGCAATCAGACCATCGAGGCCAATGCTATCGCCACCAACAAACTGTTTGGAGGCAGGTGTGGCATATTCCCAAGGACCCAAGGACTCAGGCTGTTGAAAGTTAGCAAGAGGATGGAGATCAGTTAACCATCACCATTTTGTAGCTTGATTTTCAAATAGACAGATTAAAATATACTATGAAAGTATTGCCATTACCCAGCATATGTCCAACTTCACAGTATGGCTAGTATCACCATGAGAAGCTTGTGTATAAGCCTGTGATTTGTGTCCGTCACCAATAACATCCTGTGTGAGATTTTGTGAATCACCTCCTGATTGCAAACAAGCTTCACCAGTTGTATGAAGCTGCTGGCTTAGTGGGGATCGTTTACAAGCATTATCCTGTACATGTCAAACCTGAGAACTCAGATGTGGCCATAATAAACAAGTACAACTCTTTGAGTTTGTGACAGAGAACATAACAAGAAGATTTTACCGCATCATGAAACCTCGAAGGATTAGACCAGATATTCTGTATGCATGATGCAGCAGGAGCATCTTTAGTTTGAGCTGGATCTGTTCCAGTTGAGGAGGGGGTCTTTCGAAAAGAAAAGGCATTGCATGTTTCCTCAGCATCCAGTATGGAAGGCACAGATGCTGGCTGAACTTTTGCTTTGAAACGGTCAAAGGCAGCATCAAATGAATCACAGCTAATCTGGCTAATATTTACATTTCTTGAAGCATCAGACAATAAGGCTCCAAAGCTTATGTTAGATATATCCCACAGAAGTACTTGGCTGTTGGCGGTTCTCTGGTTATCCTTTTTGAACAAAATATTAAGTATTAAGCATACATCTAACCAGAAAAAATTAGGAAGAAAACAATTTAGCAACTTGAAGTTGAACTACAATACCAGCGACTGAATAGTTTTATCCAACTGACTGCTCATCCTTACATCTTCATTTGGTGAATCTTCAGCAGGTGCAGGAGCATTCTCTTGACTTGCTATGCAACACAAATGTCTTTCATGATCAACAATTTTAACAGAATCCTTTATCTCATTTTCCTTAATTTGTACACTACTTTCAGAAAATGGAGATATCAAAGGCGTGCTGCTTATGCTGGGCTCGGTATTGGAGAACCATCCATATCTTTAAAGTAAAGAATGGAGTTGTTAGTTTCAGCTTTGCAGCTTTCTTTTAGTAAAAATAAATTTATACCAAAAGGAAGAAAAAGGATAGAGATAAACCTGAGCCGAAAAATAGCAGGGTTACCTATGGCAACATGCACATCACTTGCACTAGTATTAGTGTCCTTCAAAGTCCATCTCATCTGACCCATAAGATTTTCTGTCTGTGTGTAGTATGGAAACAGCATTAACTCTCCTGTTGTCATCGTTGGTGTACCCCACTTGACATTAAGGTGCTTTACTACAGAAGAAATTTTCTTTCGTGTTCCTATTGTTAGCTCCAGGTAAGGGTTGTGCTTCTCCTGTAGTATACCCAATCAAAAACTGTGCATTAATATAGTTCACATGAAGCTCAAAACAGTGACACAGATTGAGAGAGCCCTTAACTAGTTTATATAAGCAGTGATCAAAATGACGGGAGATTCTCTAAGTTCTCACACATGAATTACCATCTCCAAAGCTCTAAGTGTAACTTCATCTATTGGAAACAGCTGGAGCTTAAACTTTTGAAAGCAGATGGATGGTCTTGGAACAGATGCTGAAGCTGCAGATGACACAGGTGGAGTTGGAAACTGCAATTCTTCCCCATTTTCTGCTGAAGACAAAACTGTTAATTTGAAAGAAAAAAATGCTCAATAACCAAGAATCTACTTACTGATCAATTGATCACCTGTGGCAGGCAACAACTGACTGGGTGAGTGATCAAGTCTGCTTTGCTTACAAACCGAAGTGATGGTTGTTTTTTGTCCCTGCTGCTCAGCATGAAGAGGAAGCAATTTATTACCTGGAAAAAAGAGAGAGGGAGAAGGTACTTGCTTTAATATTGATAAGGTCTAAAGCTAGCAAATAATTGTAGGTCTAAACTTTCAAGACTGAGCTAAAACAAACAGAAGTAGAGAGAACATGTAAATATTCCAAGGAATTGTATATCATGTCCACTACATGAAAAAATCATGTGGTAAGACAATTTTTAAACCAATAAAGACAATCTAGTGAATACACAGTCCAGAAGAAACAGAATAATGTATACACTAGAGTGGTAGAGTGACAATCATCACCTGCTTTTTTCGACCTCTGCTTGGAAATTTTATCAGTGGATATCCCAGATTTGGTGCAGCTAAGTCCTCTAACTGCCTTCCCTTTTGTAGATGATGTTGGCATTTTTTTACGATGCTGCTCAGTCTTCATTGCAAATGATGGCCGTAATCATGCCCTCGTCAAAATCAATTCATGTAGAACACCCTGTCCAGATAACTTGAAAAATAAGCTCTTTGAATGTTACTAATGAATGGGCAGTCAAATGCACAACTCCCTCTATTTCAGATTCATGAAGCCTTACCCTTGCATTGTGACCATATATCTCAATTTCCAAACCATGTTATAACTACATCCACAAATGAAACACAGGTTTAACCCAATAATCTTTCTTGATTTGCTCTAGGCTTTGAAGTTTGAAATACAGTTGACCTCCTCCTTTATTTCATCATCATCATCTTTTTTTAAGAATGTTACAGTGTTACCTCCTAAAACATTCACATGAACTTTCATGTAATTTGCTAGATCAGCTATAACCTGATATTGTGTGATTTTAATCACTCTACAGACAATGTGGTCTGGAACTACCAGTCAGGTTCCCTGTACTCAAGTGACAGATTCAAGAATAAAGTTCCTAACACTATCAGGGTGTAGATGCTTCTTTCAAACTAGAGGAACTAAATATTGAGCATGTTCTATAAGTGTAAGGAGGCCTCATCTGCAAATAGAAGATCAACCAATACAAGGGGAATTTATAACTTTTTAGAACATGTATTTGATTGACATTTTACAACTTCACTCAATCTAAGCAATTTGCCTTTGATATGTTTTTTCCCCCTCAATATCTTAGTTATAATTAATAAAAACAGGAACATGAGAACAAATTAGCAATTTTGAGGGTCATGCAAAGTGTGCAAAACTTTTTAGTTATAAAAATAGAACATAAGCTACTACCTTGTTCATTATGCATATGATGGAACAAGGCACGTAAAGTTTTTATCACAATTCAAGAAATCTCTACAAAAACAATCGATAGACAACTTAAAGAATCTTTTCAACCATATGGATCAATCTTTCCCGGTTAGAACATACAAACACAAAAAACTATTATCCAGTGAGCAGATACCCGTGATTCTTAAAAGAGTTCTCATCTTTAGATAGAAATAATAATTTTAAACACGCATCCCAATTACCTTTGCCTTTGCTGCCTATGTAATAAAATGAAATCTCTTAAATAAAAAAACCTAGGCTTTCAGGCATGCCTAATGGCAAGAACTACATGAAGGTGAAGTGACCTAGACTCTAATTCCACTTCAGCGAAGCATCCTAGCTGGCATTTGGTTCTTTGTCCTCATCCCATCAAAGAACTTATCAAGTGATTTAAGCTTTAAATCAAAAATAAGATGAGATATTTCTAACAAGAGAAAACCCTAGAATCTATTAACTCCATCGCACTTGGTCTTACATATCTTAACTAAAAGATTCCAAAACCTAGAGACAAAACTATTTCCACATTCTTCCCAACAATAACCTAATTTTCACCCGAACAGATCAAAATTAAACGAAAATTGAACAGAAACCCAGATTCACATTTAATGAAACTAAAACCGAGCAGATATAAACTAGAGTAGTGACCTCTGATTCTCGTACTGTCAATTATCCAACAAAGAGCCCTATTTTTTTGAAGAGAAATCCGAGAAGTGGAAAGCTAGGGTTTGGGATCCAAAGAAAAAAAAAACGAAGGCGAAATCACGCCCCTACCAAAATTTAAAAGGCTTAAACTTGCTCGCAAAACCTAGAAACTAAACAATTTCCACATTTTCCCCAGACTAAACCTCAATTTTCCATCCTAACAACTAAAAGCTACAAAAAAAAACAATATATTAACAAAAAGAACCCCAATTCGCATGTGAAGGAGCTGAAACCTTAGAAGAAGAAGATGAGATCAGACTACTGGCCTTTAACTGCTGAGCGTCAGTTCTTCGATCAAAAATCCCTAAATCTGGAGAGGGAGGTGACAGCAGTGAGGAGCTAGGGTTTGGGGATCGAAGGAAAAGAGGACGGAATCGCGTCCCTCGCAAAATTTAAAGGCGTTTCCTTGCTGGATACGGTTTTTCAAAACTTGCCGCCTTTTGTTTCCTCGAAAATTAGAAAAGGAGCGAGATACCGACACGTGCCTTTGCATTACTTAACTAATTGGACGGTTTTGGGCTTAACTATCATTAGTCGTAAAATTGGCCCAACTGATTCCAAAGACTGCTTGGCTCTCAAATTTGGATTCTTTTAAAACCTAAATATCATAGAACCCCACCAAACTTTGGATGATTGGCAGAACACCCCCTTAACTTTCATAACATCAGAAAACCTACTTTAAATTTAAGGCCTACTGGAAAATCCCCTTTAACTTTGAGATTTTATCATAAAACACCCCCTACTTTATGCCTGTTTTCTGATAAAATCTCGTTTTCTATTAAAATTATAAAAGTTAAAGCGGGTTCTGATAATCATCTAAAGTTAAGGGGGTTCTAATGTTTACCCTTAATTTAACAAGGATAAAAGTTATGGTTTGCTCAGGAAATTCTTTAAATTTTTAATTTTTTTTTTGTTTGTTTAAATAGAAAATTAAATGTGGATCTCACTTTTCTCTTTACAGTGGAAATCCAAATCCACGGGAAAAGGAGACCTTCTTGCGCAGAAATTTCTAAGATTTACAAGAATACTAACATGCCCTAAATGTGTTTTGAATTATACACTTCAGTGAAATTCATAAAAAAGCCAGATGTATCATGCTATCATTGTTGTTCTCCCACCCGGAAAAATATTTTAGAAAAGCAAGATAAAAGCTACTCACGTTGCATAAAAGAATCTTAAAAATCAAAAGAATTTATATTATGGACTTGTTTCAATTTGCTTATCAAAGAAACATATAAAAATAATAATTTGTTTTGGACTTGTAGTACATGTCACTGGCTTATAAAAATACGGAAATCTATTTTTTTTCTCATTCTATTATACTTAGAATAGTTTCTTTAGAAAATCCCTAGATATTGAGAAACTCGTACGGAAAGTATTCTTTCGTTAAATAAGAACAATTGGATTAAATTTGCTCACTATATTCTTAAGAGGGAAGAAGTTTAAAGCCTAGCATAATTATAAATATAGTTCGGAATCTGTAAATATAGTAACTTGGGCATCATACTCTTCATTTTTCAAGTCGGAATTATCAGCCAATAGCAATTTATTTGTGAGCTAACAGCCAATAGCAATTGAATTTGATAGTTTAGGAGATAAATGGGGACAAGTCAGTTCAGGGAGCCAGGTGAGTCTGAGAATAGTAAAAGGGATAAACAGAAACTTACTTTATTTATTTTTAGAAGGTAAAATGGGACCAAATATATTTTAGGAAGATTAAGAGACAAATTCAATAGTATGGGGATCAATTAGAGGCAAAAACATAATGATGAGGACATCCGGAGGCGTACACGAGATTTTCGCCGAGTTTATCAGCGTAGGGGGCGCCATGTTTCAACATTATGGTTTTGATTTCAGTTGTAATAATTAGTTTGAATTTTAAATTTTTGAATTTTAAATTTTTGAATTTTAAATTTTTGAATTTTGATTTTATTTGGTAGTTAATCAGCTAATTGGTTGTATTTGGTTATGAGAGAGATTTGAGGGATTTAGAGAATATTCCAAATCTGTAATTTTTATTTAAGAACTCCTGTAATCAGAAATGGGATATGGAAGATTAAATAAAATTTGTGTTGGCCTAATTATGGTGTGAAACCCTAGGTTAATACGAATTTTCTTTTCTTTGTTGTTTTCACAGCCGTCAACTTCAGTCTTCTTCTTCCCCCACGTAAACACCATTCCCCCCACAATCAAACTCATTCATCGTCCTTCCTCTAGGCCGTCACCAACTTTCCAGCGCCATATTAACTCACACCCCAACACCTTCAAACACCGCCAACAATCAGCCCCAAACCACCTCCACCATCATCAGTCGGCCGCACCACCAGTAGCCGCCTCTCCTTCTCCATCTTCACCAGCCGCACCACCTCGTCCCCCTGCAGATTTCCGCCCACCAAAGCCTCCTCTCTCCCGTTCTTCGTCGTTCCACAGCCCCCTCCTCTACTCTCGTCGCACCTGAGGAGCCTCGCCCTTCCCCTTTGATCCCTCCGCCCTCAAGAACTCCAGTAGCCCCTCCCCTTGGCTCACGTCCCGCCGAGCAACCAACAAGCGGCTGCCCTCCTCCTACGAGCAGCCCACAGATCTCTGCTCTCTTCCACCCTTCCACAAAAAGCCCTTCTACTGATTTTGACATCGTCGTGCCGCCGTCGTTGTATTCATCTTCATTTTCTTCGTTGTCAACACTTTTCAAATTGTCGCCAGACCTCTTTTTGTGTCGTCGTTGAGTCCGACTCTGCAATCGGTTTGTGCATGGCCGATCCCGACATTAAAGATGATGCATTCGTGATTGATCTAGATACCGACGTGGTTGATCTACATCGTTCCCCGTGGTTTGATTATCAACCGTTCGAGAGTGTACCCGAGTACGTCGAACGTGTGACTCATCAGATCGTCGACAATATAGAGAGTCGTTTGGGGATTAGTTTGTGGCATCGACGTTTCCATCCGGATACACCACTTCATCCTAATTACGTCACCCTCGGTGGAGAGCTTCCACCCCTCATATTTGGCGTCATCGAACCACCCCCTGAGGATCTTCCCATCGAACCAGTTCAACCCGATGAAGGTTTAATTTTCTTACGCCCAAGTATTTTCGGAATTGCTATTGCGTGCATGTTGTTATCAATATTAATATCGATTGCGCTTGTGCTATATTCAGTTTGACTAGTGAGCGAGTGAATCTGCTGCTAAGTATTTCTGCTTATCTAAATATTACAAATTGAATTGTATTAAGAGAATGAATCATTATATTATTTATCTGAATAATTTTACAAATGTTCAAACTTAGTACATTGCAACTTTTGCTCAAAAACCATCGTTCACTTCATTTTACTCTTAAATTTCCTGCTTAGATCGATCGTTGATTTGGTGAAGCATTATTGTCGCTGATCTTGCACCTGCATATATATTGCTTCACATCAATTTTGGTATCAGAGCGTGGTTCTAAGTTAGGAATTTTTTTTTAGTTGAGTCTTTATTTAAAAAAAATTCAGTCATCTCATTTAATTATTGTGCACCCATTCATATCATCTAGTTGTTAGTGCATGCCCACTCGCACCGGTCTATCCTATCGATTAGGAGAGTCAAGTGAGTCGACTAGTGAGTCCAGTATGTCAGGCAGTACCGATCCTAAACTCCATAAGAAACTCGATGAGCTAACAAGACAATTAACTGCCGTAGTCCAGAACTTAACAAATTTCCAAAATGACACCAACGAAAAGTTTGCTAGGCTCGAAGAAACACGTGTTGCAACCCCGCCACCGCAAGGTCAAGGTTATGAACACTTCACCCCACCGCTGTCGCTGCAAGGTCAAGGCTTTGGAAACATCATTCAGCGGCCCCCACATCAACCGGTACCTGATCTGGATGCACAATACCTGAGGAGTATTAAGGTCAGCGTACCAACCTTTGATGGCAAGCTCGACCCACAAGCTTTTCTGGACTGGCTGAAGAACATGGATCACTACTTCGATTGGTACACCCTGACGGAACCCCGAAAGGTCAAGTTCGCAGCGATGAAACTCACCGGACCCGCTTGCCAATATTGGACCAACCTCAAAATGCTGAGGCATATTCGAGGGTAGTTACCGATTACAACTTGGCAAGAAATGACCAACAAACTAAAATAGAAGTACCTTCCGCCATCATTTTATCATCGATTGCTAGACAAATGGCATCGCTTCACTCAAGGCACCAAATCAGCAAAAGAATACATTGCACAATTTGATGAACTGTTTACTCGATGCAGCACTATTGAGCAAGAGGCGGCAATGAAGGTTTTATCGAAATTTAGAGCTGGATTGTGAAGCGATCTTCAAACCAAACTCTTTGCTAGGGGAATAGACACTCTTGAGAAAGCTTACGCATTAGTTCAAGATCTAGATGAAGCCAAACCTCATTAATCTTATAGGAGTCAGGATTTTAGAACTTATTCCTCTCAATCTTCCAGTGCCACTACTTCTAGCCATCCTTCAAGTCGATCTAACCCCAGTTCTTCCCAGTATAAAGTCGACCCTAAAGGCAAGGAGCCGGAGAAAGATTTTCCAAGGTTGGCCCTCACGTCAAGTGCTACAAATGCCAAGGGTATGGGCATGTTTCTGCGAACTATCTGACTCGTCACAAGGTTGCTATCATCGATGGCCAATACAAATACGAACCCAAACCTGACAGCGACGAGTTTGTTCATCAAGTTGACGATGATACCGATGATTTTGAGGATGATGCAGATGATATTGTCTTAGGTTGTCTTACGCAAATTGAAACTCCTACCATATCAGTTGTCAGATGTGCTATCTCCCAACCCAAGGTTGTTGATGATTGAAGACGTACTTTCATTTTCCATACGTTTACAAAGATTGGTGATAAAAATTATAAAGTGATCGTGGACAGTGGAAGCTGTATTAATGCGGTCTCCTCAGTTGTGATCGCCAAGCTTGGTCTTAAGACTGTACCCTATCCTAATCTATACAAGGTATCGTGGATTAACGACACCACACTCAATGTCCAAGAGAGGTGCTTAGTCCCTCTTCAATTTGCTATTAATAAGGACAAAGTTTGGTGCGATGTTCTAAAAATAGATGTGGGTCAAATTATTCTTGGGAGGCTCTGGCTGTTTGATAACGACGTTCATATCTTCAGACGATCCAACATGCTATTGTTCGAGCATGACGGGAAGAAGGTCAAGATCCTTCCAGTTCAACCGAACGGGAGTGACAAGAAGCCTGATCCAGACAAGTCTTCCTGATGCGTTAACCTGATTGGGGCCAAAGAAATAGATCGTGAACTGGCCAATGGAGCTCCCGTATTCGCCCTCGCTGCTCGAGAAGCCCCTAAAGATGTTGCTGACGTGGTCCCTCCAAAAGTCGCTCATGTGTTGGAAGAATTCGCTGACGTCTTCCCTGA